TATATATATATGTATATATATATTGGGAGTACAAATTAGTTCGGTCCGTTTTTTTGTGGTCAAAAATGCATTTATTTCAGAACAAAATGAATGAAGAGATTAATCAAAGTATTGTCCATCGCTGGCTACTACTTTTTCCCACCTCTCAGGCAATTTTCGAATTCCATCTGGAAAAAATGTCTCGTCTTTTCAAGCGATCCAAGTTAAGAGCCAATTTTCGATTTCTGCGAAAAAAGTGAACCTGCCAAATCGTGCTGCATCCTTCGGAACAACCAGTAATCAGAAGGAGCAATGTCCGGCGAATACGGCGGATGCGGTAAAATATTCCACTTGAGCGTTTCCCAATAATTTTTTACGACTTTTGCGACATGAGGCCGAGCGTTATTAGCGTAAACAAATTAATAAGTATTATTAAAGAAAAAAAAGACGCCGAGTACGTATCAAAGAAAGGACCCAAATAAAAAATACCAATACACAAAATACCAAACAAGAAAGACCAAAACAAAAATTATCAAAACAAAAACTACAAAACGAAAAGTACATGTTAACTTAAACAAAGTGCAGATGTTTTAAAATAATTTAATTCAAAAAAAAAATAAGATCAATATAATTAACCAAGTACATATATGTGTAAGTATTTATTACATAAGTAATTGTGTGATAAATATTTATTGTGTGACATCATCCTTAATAGCATATATTGGTTTTCTAAACGTATATACCATTTCATAACCGTTTGTAAAATGTTTCCCATACATTTCTAAACGGTATATATAATACTAACCGAGACGATTTCATGTGTATTTTGGAAACTGTAATTGCTATTTTTTACAAAATTAGATAAAATTTTTGGTGTAAACGTCCGCCATATTAAATACTATTTTATACTTTTGCAATTTTTTAGATTTGTAATTAGTGACTTCACATTGTAAAAAAGTTTGTTTGTGTTAAATTAGATTTATTTTCACACGTCTCATTTTATTTCTGTATATATAGTCTCTGTGTTAATTTAGCACAAGGTAAATGTCTTAATAAATGCACCCTATGTGTACGTTTTACATTTAAAATATGTTATTATGAAAGTATATGTCACATATAAATTATATTATTTTAACACTAGAAATGGTGAATATGAACATAAATACAAAATATTTTTATCGTGCGAAAATCTTTTAAAATGATTTTCCACAAATGTTACATAAATTTTCAATTTCGGCATCCATTATATATGATTATATATGATTCGTTATTTTGCATTTCTTTATTGTTGTAATGTATTAACAATTAACGACATCAAAATATAGGTTTACTTGCGAATACAATTATATTCATAGTGGTAGATTTATTCATATTTATAATGTTTTATGGTTTATGGCGATCATATTGGATTCATTGGAATTAATTTCGTACTTTTTTAATTAAATTTATAATGTGCGACGAAAAATATATTAAATACTCAGTTTAGTGCAAATTCGTTGAAATTAGTAAATTTTCTGTTTTTCAGCCCTTGTATGCATTCGATATTTTGAAAAAAATTATAGTTTCAAAATCGGCACGAATAACTTTGTTGAAATTTAATAAGCTTTAATTAAAAAGGAAAAAAATTAAAACCCAATAAGATTTGAGGGCTGTAGACAATTTCGCTGTAAACATTTTTTGTTTTTTCCCACTGTGCGCCACGACCGATGCGCGATCTTCCGAGCATAGCCTATCAATATTCGCACACGCTATTGGCTCTGCCCTGTTGAATAACCAAATCGAACCTGTTTCATCGCGATTCAGTCGCTAGTAACACCGATATCTCAGCGATCTGACCGCAACACCGTAGTAAGTCACTTCGGCAATAACAATATTGTTGTTGTTTTCGGAAGTATATTTATTTTTATTATTTTTAATCTTCAATTTACGTCTCTTTCTTTCCGAATTCTCTGTTCAAACAGTGAACACATATTCAACGATTATTTCCGAAAACGACCGAGTACACGGCGTGCATTCCCATTTTTTGTCATGTGACCATTTTAGTTCGGCTAACGTAGGCCCAATGGCGTTCAAACTGTCCCCACTTTCTCCAAGAGAAAGTTTGCACCCCCTGGCAGAGATCTCAGTTTTGTTACATCGTGACAAAACGGACACGGACGCTCGCTTGAGTGAGTTTCCCCACCGCGTTGCTGCTAATGTAACAAAACTGAGAGCTTTGCCTTCTGGTTGACCAGTTCAGGTTCGTGCGTTCAAGTCGAATGAATACGTTTATCCATTTTCTAGTAAAATTGCGAGTATTCACTTAAAAATTATCGTATCGTTATTTGTCATAGATTTTTGTTCGCATAAATATACCATCGTTTGTGCTAAAATAAATATAATTGACAACGTACTATCAAGCTTCAAATTGTAAACCTCGAAACTATATCTTGAAACTAACATGGATTTAAGTTCACCACCTGGTATCAGTACATTTGATGACGATGCAA